TGATAGTGTTAGCCATCCAGCTAATGGTGAATCGTTTAATAGTGTTAGCCATCCAGCTAATGGTGAATCGTTTGATAGTGTTAGCCATCTAGCTAATGGTGAATTGTTTAATAGTGTTAGCCATCTCGCTAATGGTGAATCGTTTGATAGTGTTAGCCATCTAGCTAATGATGAATCGTTTGATAGTGTTAGCCATCCAGCTAATGGTGAATTGTTTGATAGTGTTAAATAGCCATCCAGCTAATGGTGAATCGTTTAATAGTGTTAGCCATTTCGCTAATGGTGAATCGTTTGATAGTGTTAGCCATCTAGCTAATGATGAATCGTTTGATAGTGTTAGCCATCCAGCTAATGGTGAATCGTTTGATAGTGTTAGCCATCTCGCTAATGGTGAATCGTTTGATAGTATTAGCCATCTAGCTAATGATGAATTGTTTGATAGTGTTAGCCATCCAGCTAATGGTGAATCATTTAAGTGTTAGCCATCTAGCTGATGGTGAATCATTTGATAGTGTTAGCCATCCAGCTAATGATGAATTGTTTGATAGTGTTAGCCATCCAGCTAATGGTGAATGGTTTAGAAGTCTATTTGATTGCATTTGGATTGACTGTTAAATACAAAGACATTGTCGTAAACTGTGTTAGCCATCCAGCTAATGGTCAGTTGCTTAACAGTGTTAGCCATCCAGCTAATGGTGAATCGTTTAGGAGTCTGTTTGATTGCATTTGAATTGACTGTTTAATACAAAGACATTGCAGTAAACTCTGGGTGTTTGGTATCTGCTGCGTCAAGACATTTTTTTGCCAATCCTAAAGAATTACAATTTTAATAATATTTTGACACCAGTATTGCCTTTACACAAAATGATCACCAGAGGGCACTGTTTGTTTGTGGTTGGCTTTACAGTGATATGATAGACTTGCAATTGCAAGCGTTGAGCAAAACTGTAAATTCTATGAAGGTAGTAATTCAAGTTGCATTTGGATCTAATTACTGCTTTTAGTCAGTGAATTTATGTACAGAATAGTAATTTACTGGCTGTTTTCCATCCCTGGCAGGTAATCTTGTCTGTGTATCTGATTATAGCTTGTGCAGTGTGCATATGATTGGCAATTATTACAGACATAGGATACATGCCAAGGTCATGAACTCCCTGTGGTTTACATTCATGTTTCTCTTTAAAACTTTTCTCCCTGCAATGCTATGTGGTAAACATTGATCTTTTTAACAAGCTCAGTTTTTTATAAAAAGAATCTTGATGGAATTCAGTTTCGAAAGGTGATACCATTATGACATTTTTATTGGTGCTTTAGAACAGTTCATGCTCAGAAGATAAAATCCTAGAAACTATTTATTTTTGCATTGGTTTCTATGTTGGGGAGGGGGCTTACATTTTGACCTCTGACTGTTCATGTTCAAACCTTGTATATTTTTCTAAACTTGCTAGCTCACAGGGACTATGTAATGCAATTACTTGTTATTGCAGTATTGGTGAGGATTTATTTAATGCATTCATCACAACATATCCATTTTGTCTTTGCGTAGCTTGCCTTTCATTTTATCCGCCTTGGGTGAAATCACAGTAAATTACTTGAGTTTAGATGCAATTTATTTTTTCTAAAAAACATAGCTTTTGATACAGCTTCAGTCCCATGTGTGAGATAATTTTTAATTTTATCCTCTTGAAATAAAGTATTTTATTTTTCAGTAATGAACAATTATTTTTACTGGATTATTTTTCAGCAAAAATATATTATTAATTAAAAGTAAACAAGCCATATTGCAATAACTCTGAAACAAAATTGAGGTCAAAAGTGAAAGTGTTTATATCTAGAAAGATCAGTTATGTGGATAAAATTATAAATGTTGGCTCTGGAATTGACAACAGCTGTATGGTTGTCAGTTAGTTGGATTACAGGCTTGTATTCCCCCTGTGTAGCTATGTCAAGGCCAATCATTAATATTCATGTCACTAGAAAATAGGCCATGGTGCTTCACTCTTTGTTTACCTGTGTGTATTGTTCTACTGTTCAGTAATATGGTGTCATTAGTTCAATACTGTGTTCGCTATTGGGATGAAGTAGTGGAAAAAAAATCCAGTGAAGTACTCCTATATTTTACATGTAACTCATGAAAAATTAGTAAAAATAGACAGCCCAAATGTCAATTTAGTGAAAATTAATTCCAGCTAAAATAAGGTATTTTACAGGATCCCATATATACGCATCTGAAGTTAATAACTCCATTATGTAATTTACTGCTCTAAGTTATTGTAATTTGACAGTGAAATCTTCACCACTTCAAAGAAAATTCTTGACTCTCGTAAAATAATATTGTTTGTGGCATTTTCAGTGTACCAGCGACAGAAATCCTCATTGAATCTGTAATCCATAATCTGGTTCTTTTCCACTGGATTACCATCTCATTACTTCTTCTTTTCCATCTTTTCCTGCCCTGGTCACAGACAAAATCTGACAAACCTTTGCTTATGAACACCGCTTTGTCGGCTGCTCACCTAAACATGTATCAAGTCAGTATGACTATTTAATGAAAAAAAAAAATATCTTTCAATTTGATCATCAAAATTGACCTTAACAGCTGCTACAAAATAATTTTTAATTCTTGAGTAATATGTTGCCTCTGGTTTTGTATTTGTTCAAGAACCTATTCATTCTATGCTGTTTTAACCTGTGGAATATAGATAATGGAATTATCAATTTGTTCTATTATTAGTGCATACACTGACATAAATAAGGGAGGTGTTTCTAAGGTCAAAATAAGTAATATTCCATTTATTACACCAAATGCAATGTATTTTTTTTTTGTTAGAAGCACATATAGACAAAAAATTACATTTATTGTATAATGGGTCTTTAAAATATTGATTATTTTGACCATAGAATATGTACTTTTAAGTACGATATTCTTGTTGGATTAGACAAAATTATTCCTTCCACCATATGTAACTGGGGACTGGGGGGGGGGGGTCTCATTGTTATTATTGAGTGACCTTTGACACTCACTTTGACACTAATTGGTCTGTCATTATGTGGTTGGTTGTCTACTTTTAGCATTATGTACAAGGTTACCAAATGGCAGGGGGCATTGGAGATATTAAGGAAAGAATTATCTTCAAATTCAGGTTGTCAGCTGGTATTGGACCATCTCACCATGAAGGAATAATAGGTATAATTAGGAATTATACGGATTGCAACTTAAAACATTAAGTCTCATTGTCCCATCATAATTGTGAAATATTTAATGGTTTACAGTCATCCCAGGGTTCAACAGCTGAGCCTTTAAATGCTAGGTTTCACTCTGTTACCTTCAAAGATTTACATTTTCAAAGATGAAATAGAACAGATCAGATAAGATCAGCAGGTGCCTGTGTGACCTCTGACCTCACTCCACATGTCATCATCAAACTAATAATAAACATTTCACCCAGAGAGTGTGTTTTGGTGATTCTATTGAAGCATTCCATTACAGAGTCTCTGACCATATTGTAAATAATGACACAGTCTATTAATGTTAGAAAGCACAGGTCAAAAGTTCATGGCATACAATTTATTTCAATCTGTTGGGGTCTTTATTTATAGCATTTCATAATTCTGGGTGGTTTAAACTTTCGAACTTTAATGTCAAATTTTGTCCTTCAAATTTAACATTAATAAATACTGGTATTCATTTTAGAATACTATTTATTACGACTGAGGATAGTTATTTTTATTTATATGTGTCTGTTTTCAGTTCAAGATTCACTACCTACTCTATATTTACCGTACTCGACCGCGTTAGCGCCCAGGGGCCTCAACTCAGAAAATCACGATTTTTTAGGGGTGGGCGCTTACCCGAGCACCCCCCTCGAAAAAGAGTGCAAATGAAAAATTTGATTCATCAAGTGACAGATTACGTCTTTGAAGGAAATCAAATTACGAAATTAGTTGAGTCGTCATTGATTTTCACAATGAAGAAACAGAAATGATCACAACAAATATGCACATTTTATTAAAATATTAATTACGTACCACCAGAATTTACGAAATTAAAAACATTTGAGTCTGTTGGAACACAGTCGAAGTCAAAATTGTCATATTATCTCCACTCACGAAGGTGTTGGATCGTACGCAAACTCTCGATGAAAATCACTTTCCGCCATGATGCATTTGCAGATTGCACCTGCAGCGGCGTCCTTTGACCTAATGGGTCAAGTTGGTTATTAACCAATCACAATGCTGTGTTGTACTGACGCAATTCTTCGGAAATTCCCGAAGACGTTCCGGTAACGCAATGCGGAAGTGAATTATCGATGTCGAAGTATGATCTGTTGGAATTGATTTCAGCGAATAAACGACAAAGTTTTTTCCAAAAAACTAGTAACTAGCCATTTTTGAGAGGTAAACTGTATATGGCATGAAATATTTACCACATTTTACTTGTATTAACAGGTCATTGTCGAAGCGTAGTTTACGCACGGTTACCGTGTTCTACGCATTCACAACATGTTCACAGCGGTCGATATCCATGCTGTATCATATAAAAAACGATTACCAAGATTCGTTACGCAAGACCAAGTTTTAAATTAGTTGCATTTTGAAGGGGTGGGCGCTTTGCCGAATGTGACCCCAAATATAAAAATTGCGCAAAAGTGGGGGGTGGACGCTTGCCCGGGCATGGGCGCTAATGCAGTCGAGTACGGTAACATCAAAATTTCTTTTTGTTTAAATTTTTTTTTTTTTTTTAAATTTATATCAGGACCTGTAGGTAGATAAATTGTGTCTATTTTGTCTAAACGTAACTAAAAAATTAACTAAAAATGTTACACCTAAATTTGTGGTGAGAAAAAATTATAGCATTCAAAAGCCTTATGCCTATACCTTTACATGATGTGTGATCTGATTACATCATTGGGACTGTCTTCAGCTGCTATTACGAATGACAGTAGATTATACATGCATACATAATACTAATTGGAGTCTACTCTTCTTTGTTTTTGTAGTTTAGTGTTTGGCACACTGTATCCTGCCTATGCATCATATAAAGCCGTCAAGACACGCAATGTCAAAGAATATGTAAGTATTATCTCTGTTGAACGTACGTATGTAACTATGTATGGATAGATGAATGACATTAAAGCGCGGTAGTCGTCGCATGATTTTCCCACAATCCAATGCGTTCTTCAATCGGAAATCACAAGTATGAGGTTTGACTTGCACTGATTACCGACGGTGACTCCTTTGATACCTTTCAATCACATGAAAATTGCCTAATTTAAGTTTGGAAACGTCTCAGTTTGTACTCGTTGATCTGCGCAAAAGTCGCCATCTTTGTTTATATGAGACCAAATATTTCGCACATGCGCAGCGCGCTGATTACTGCACTTTAATATTAATAAATGTTTTAGTTTTATTTGATGCGTTATCTGTTAGTTTACCAAGTTGGCACTGTTACTTTTAGCTATTTATACTATTCTCATGCACTCTTTGACTGATTCTTTTTAAATTTGCTTTAATGACAAGACAATAAAGTGTTCATATTCACATTAGTTTGAAACTTAACCAGCTGGTGGCCATTTATCTTTGTAAAACTGCGTAAAATTTCAACTGTTTCTTTGGCGAGCATGATTGTGGGTTTCACATTATTCTAGAATCAAAATAAAATATTTATTGTACTTAGCCCAAAACAGAACAAAACAATCAAAAAAGCTATTTCACAAAATCCAAGTTATTTTTTGGTCTACCTGAAAATTGTATCACAAAGATTAATTAATTAACATTATTACTACTTGAGGATTGTCTTTAAATTTCCTAATAAAATGGAATACAAGAAGTCAAATGTTGAGCGGCGGAAGATTTTTTTTATATTAGTAAATGTGAACAGACATGATGCCTGTTTAGGTCAAAGGTCAAATTATCGTCAAATCATTACCGGTACTCCTAATAATGATGTCTCCTATGAAGTCTCCATGGAAAATCACCTTGACATATTTACTTCACCCTTTAAAAAATAAGATTTTTTTTTCTTTGAGTTTAAAATTATTAGTAGCCCTTACTCAAATTGAATTGGTATAATTGTTGTACTGCTACGTGTACATGATCTCATTATTTGTAAATATATCTGCGTACAGGTCTGTGGAAGATAGAATTATTTTTTTTCTATTCAGCAACAGTGCCCTTAAATGGCCCCAATCCTACTTCACTGGCATGGAATCATGATTGACAGTCAGAGGTTCGCTGCACAGTTTCCATTTCTTCCGTTACCATAGAAACTGTCAAGAATGATTAATAATCAGTCTAGCAAGAGAGTAGTTTCGTAATATCTAGTGGGACACACTCACTACATGGGGCTCTGTTTAGTTCAGTCCCACAGTTAGTTTGCAGTTAGGGAAATGATACTTCTTACCATTTCTTCTTCATTTAATACTCAAGGGTTGCTTTTTTCGATTGTTTATTTCCAAAATATAGGTCAGTTAGCGTAGGATACCTTAATCTTGCTTCAAATTTGTTAACGCTAAGTGGTAAATCCAGTGAGAATACTTCTTTCCCATTTATTTGAATTGCAAATCAGTCACCATATTCTGTTTTCAGCTAAAATAGTGAAAGTCGCACACATTGTTAAATATTGAACAGAAAATTGAATACTGGACGTTTATTTTCATTCACATTTTGTCATTTGAATTTTGTTGATTCCTGACTCTGTGCCTGTCTGCTAATGCTGGCAGCCAAGTTCATCATCAAAATGATTTCGCTCTTTTTATTCGATCATAAAGCAGTCAATCAACAATGACTGTTTTGTGATTTTTTTTTTCCACAAAGCCGGAAACACAACATTATATTTAAAACTGTCACAGCCTTCTATACATTTTAAGAGTGAGAAAATTAATAACACTTAATTAATGGTTGTTATGGTGATATGATTGTCAACACAGTAATGATGATACAATGTATGGTACAAGATAGATCTTGTTGTTTTGACATTAGATGTAATAAATGACTCCCTGTCATGTTTTTTTTCTTATTTGATAGACATTGTCTATGGTTATTCTTTCACTGTCTTTTTTTTCCTTCGTAACTAAATGAATCTTTCAAGCAGAAGTAATTTATGTAATAAGAGATTATACTATTTGTTTTCAGTGGACCAAATCCAGGACTAATATTAGTTTGGTGCATATTCTGCACACATGTTTTAATACTTCAACTAACATCATCCCCTTTTCACTACAGCAAACATCAAACACTCCTTTTCAAGATTGATAAAAGCATGTGTCGGCAAATCCAAAAACAGTGATTAACCTTTCAAGTTGATATATATTTGACCTCAAAACAAATTTTTGTCCAATTATTTTAAATACTGTATATTTCAGGATTTTGGTATTCAAGTGGCAATTAGTAGCATAATTTACTTTACTTTAATGAGAGCTGGCTTTAACTTCCACTCTGTATTTGATACTGTTTTATATTATTCAAATTTATGATTGAATATTATTAGTAGTAATCTTGTTACCATGGTATTTTTTTCTCTTTACTAGACAGGTAAAAAGCTTTTAACACCACAGGTTGTGAATTATTGGGACTCTAACTGTTGTTAAAAAAAACAGGCATAACTAGGTGGTTAAGTCTCCTTGTTTGCTTACTATTTACATACAGTTATTAACTCTCAGATGTTTTGATGTCATTGTTGGATTTGATTTTAATTTCTCAAGCTGGCAAGTCATCACATATTAACAACAGTTATGTGATCCACACTATAAGGTCATCACAAGAATACCACAAATACAGTATGATGATTACGTCTATGTTTGTAGTCCATCTCACAATCGATTGCCGTTGCAATATTTCAAGGAACATTGCCAGCGGTGTTTGTTTCGACTTAAGCACTTTAAATCCCAACAAGCAGATGCTGCTAGCTAGACACAGCCATTTTTTCATCAATATGCGTAACTAGAGTGCAGTGATAACTACTCAAATTAAAGCACAATGAATGGATAAAACCACTTTCAAATTTGAAGTCAGATTTATTATTATGAATGAAAAAACTGTGTGAAATATGTAAATCATAACAGCCTACAAGCTATCTACATTTTAACGCAGTGAATTATTATTTGATTGCATACAGTGAGACTTTCTTATAAATGAGTGTTCTTACTTTCCAGTGGTCAAAGGTCATAAAACTCTAGCAGTGTTCCTAGAAATATTGCAAGTATCTGCAAGGGGGTCTGATAGTGAGATAGAGGTTTTCCTGATTAGTTTAGTTCAGTGCGTGCTGATTTATTGTGGAATAGTGTTGGCGCAATCTTGTGTGTTCAGTAACGAGATTCCATTTCTGTTGCACTGTATGCTGTATCCAATGTGAACAAATGAAAGTGTTCAAATGTAACATAAATAATCTGACACACATTCAATGTTAGTGATGCAGTTTATCCCAAATCAAATGAAAGTGTTAAATGTAACATAAATAATCTGGCACACATTCAATGTTAGTGATGTAGTTTATTCCAAATCAAATGAAAGTGTTAAATGCAACATAAATAGTCTGGTACACATTCAATGTTAGTGATGCAGTTTATTCCAAATCAAATGAAAGTGTTAAATGTAACATAAATAATCTGACACACATTCAATGCTAGTGATGCAATTTATCCCAAATCAAATGAAAGTGTTAAATGTAACATAAATAATCTAACACACATTCAATGCTAGTGATGCAATTTATCCCAAATCAAATGAAAGTGTTAAATGTAACATAAATAGTCTGGCACACATTCAATGTTAGTGATGCAGTTTATTCCAAATCAAATGAAAGTCTTAAATGTAACATAAATAGTCTGGCACACATTCAATGTTAGTGATGCAGTTTATTCCAACTCAAATGAAAGTGTTAAAGGTAACATAAATAGTCTGGCACACATTCAATGTTAGTGATGCAGTTTATTCCAAATCAAATGAAAGTCTTAAATGTAACATAAATAGTCTGGCACACATTCAATGTTAGTGATGCAGTTTATTCCAAATCAAATGAAAGTGTTAAATGTAACATAAATAATCTGGCACACATTCAATGCTAGTGATGCAGTTTATTCCAAATCAAATGAAAGTGTTAAATGTAACATAAATAGTCTGGCACACATTCAATGTTAGTGATGCAGTTTATCATTCACAACTTATGCAATCAATGTTCATTGTTCATAAATAGTCTGGCACACATTCAATGTTATTTATGCAGTTTATCCCAAATCAAATGAAAGTGTTAAATGTAACATAAATAATCTGGCACACATTCAATGTTAGTGATGCAGTTTATCCCAAATCAAATGAAAGTGTTAAATGTAACATAAATAGTCTGGCACACATTCAATGTTAGTGATGCAGTTTATCATTCACAACTTATGCAATCAATGTTCATTGCTGGCAGTGTTTAGGATTCATTCATTCACAAGCATGCAACCAAAGATTGGTGCTGACAGTATTAATTAAGAATTTGTGTCATACATGTAGTCATATGTTGTGGATTAATTGTCTTGACATAAATATTTATTGATCATGCAAGAGAGGTATTACATTGAGATTTAGTTTTTACTGTGCACAGATCTTTATTTGTCTCCAACCGTGAACTTATGATGACACAAGAAACATGTTTATAGCCAGGGATGGTTTAAATCTTCATCAATATTTGATTACTTCATTTGATTGGCAACCAATGTTCAGTGCTGGCAGTGTTTAGGATTCGTTCACAACTATGCAACCAATGTTCATTTTGATAGCCAGGGATGCTTTAAATCTTTATCAATATTTGATTACTTCATTTGATATGCAACCAATGTTCAGTGCTGCCAGTGTTTAGGATTTGTTCACATCTATGCAACCAATGTTCATTTTGATAGCCAGGGATGGTTTAAATCTTCATCAATATTTGATTACTTCATTTGATATGGAGAATCATTGAAGAATGTCCAACTCCCAAAAGAGGAAACATCAAAGATATGCAAAGATAGCATGTGTTGCCATGGTTATACTGAGCTTATAATTAAGCATTTCAAATAACATGCCAGTCTTAAGTGAATGGTCAGTCTATAGGAGTGAGAGTTATGACTGGTTTCTAGGTAATCCTGAGATACCATGTGGCCTCGGAATAAAACACTTTTGTCCTATTCTACAACAGATGTATGTGAATAGATCATGTATGCAAGTGTTGCCATCACAAATTTGAATAATTAATAATTTTGGCTCAGGTTTCACAGAGACCATTGTACAACTTATCATGTTATACTGTATTTTAGGACTTGAACTTTGGTATTCTGAAGTCATCCAAATTCAAGGCCAAAAAAATGATTGAAATTTTACTGAAAGGAATCAAGGCAGTTAGGTGGGGTATTGCAGCAATCGCCTCCGTGGCCTCTATGTCCTTGATGAATGTTGAGCCCTGTCATATTTCATATATTAATAGCATATGCGCTTATGTAGATTACAGAGATTTTTCTTCTGTGATCAAAATAAGTCATACTTTCAGGATTCAGTATACAGCAATTTATATTATTTATGATTTATATACACTTCTTATTTGATATGCGCTTCTAATAGAGAAATTATGGTGAATGTAATTACTTTCAAATAATAGCATAGTTTAGGCCTTGTATTGGGCATGCTTTATTGTGAATCATATAGAGTATAGTAAGTACTTGTTGCTATTGATAACCATGTAGATATCTCACGGCTATAAATGTTGAAAAACGGCAGTCAGCGCTAGATTTACGAGGCATCTATGGTGGTAGTAATTGACAATCGCTTCCTCGTTGTATCAATCAGATTAAAATCTAAAACTTAATCTTTTATTTTAGATTAATAACAGTCTTTTAAAGCTGCTGCCTATCCTATCTATTAAAACATTGCAGTTCACTCTGAGGTCAATAGAAGCATGGAGCTAAAAAGAAATACCTCTTTTTAGCTAAATGATGGAAGCAAGCAACAATTGCTAAAGCATCCAAGCTCTATTTTGCGTGATATGAATACCTCACGCTGGAAGCTCCCTTTGTAGTAGAGGCTTGCAATTCAAAATGGTCTCCCAAGGGAGATTTAGCTAATATATATATTCTGTCAGGTTTCCATGGAGACAATCTTCACAGCTACTCATTGCTATAAAGACTGCTGTTATCACAACCTTGTCCGCTCTAATTTTACTTTTAAAAATAGTGACAAAGGATTATATTACTATTCTGAATTCCTTTACTTTATCTTATTACATTTTAGATTTCAGTTGTATCATAAAATATATAAGCGTTTGACCTTGTATTTTTGCTCCCATTTTTATTGACAAAAATCAGAAATTCAGAACAGAATTTATTTTTCATTAAATTAAAATATTCTTTGTGTTGTCTCTCATTTATTCTAAATGTGTAAAATTTATGTAAGCCTGTCACCTGGAGTAGACTGTTTATGGTATGCTATGCTCTCTTGAATCTCATTTACTCAATCCATTAAATGTCAGAGGTGTGAATTTGAGTTGTTTCCTCCCAGGGTTTTCTGTACAGCTTCCCAGGTGCCTTTGCTGCAAATACTGGCTGTCTTTACTGCTATGTATTTTTGTTTTATCTGTTCCTATGGGTATCATCTTGCAAGGTAGAAATGCAGCATTGGCGTACTAGGTCGGTTTGGCTAAAAAGTCATACCTGGTAAAATCAAAACCGGACAAATTTCACTTGTTGAAGTTAAAATCTTGTCTGTCTGTCATATTTTGCTTTATCGGCTATGTATTCCAATGTTGTTGCAATAAAAACAAATTTTCAACTTGAATATCCCCCAACTGTTTTTTTCTTGGGCCTAAAATGATACTGCCTTCAATGTGTCCTGTTGTACAGGGAGTGTTCCTTTCAAATTACAGGTGTGAAACCATCACTAACCTCATAAATATCAAAAAGTACATATGTAACATATAATTGGTAACTTAGGGGGGCTTGTATGACTAATCCTTGGATATTATGGCTTCCTATCTCACCAGTGGTTTGCATTATATAAATCTTTCAGGAAATTAATTATTATGAAATACTTGTGGTTTGCAATATCAAATATAGTGCTTGTTTTCACATTTGCAGTTTAGAGTGGATTTTTTGCACGGTTTTCTTTTCGAGAAAAAAACATTTCCCAGAAGAAACAACAAAATGACCACAGTAGTTGATTTTTTGGTTTTAAATGCATTTCTCATTGCAACAATATTTAGTAGATTATTTAGTTTTATTCAGAAATAAATTTGTAAACAGACGACTACACTTAATTTATAAATAAATGTTTAATTAGTGTTTTTTATCAGTGTTCATGATGATATGGAAGTCAATGTGAAATATTCACTGTTTCCCTTCCTCACTGCCATGTTTTATTTGCGTGTTGTAAACTGGACAGACCAAGAGTCTGTCCGCTAACTTGGGGGTGGAGCAGTGTTATTTTATTTATGTATTTTCTGTTTTTCAAATTTACAAAATTAAAGTGGTTTGTGTGTTGAGGTGATAACATTTATCAGGTCACCCACCTTTCTGAGTTGTGAACAGAAGCTCTTTGTTTTGATATTCATAGAAATGGTATCAGTTCTCTCATCAATGACAGCTGTTACAACACAATTATAGTTGCTGACAGTTTGAATAGTGATAAAAGTTAACCCAGCAGAATATTGCAATGATACCATCTCATTGTCGGGATAGACCATGATAAGATCATGAGTTGAATTCTGTGAAATAAAGAGATAAAGGTCCTGTTATTTCCATCAAGGTTATCCGAGGTCCAAGCACGTTCCAGAAAACACTACATCTTGTGTATTTCAATTTCAGCCTTCATCATATGATTGCCTTGAATGATCAAGGACTCCTTGACCTTCTCTGAAACCTACTGTGTGAGGGCGCTCTTCCATATATTTGTCGTGGTCACTGTGGACATTCTCTTTATATTCTACAAGCAGCCTTGACACCTGTTACTAGTGATTCTAAGATCTAGCACCCATAAATGCCAAGTTATGTAATATACTGTAGTGGAGCTATTAAATTTTACTACTATCTTGATGGTTTCCATAGTTACTCATTGATTAACGATAATTTTTACGTAAATGAACAATGCATTCACAAGCACGTATAACTGCAATATTCAAACAAGTGTGGGCTTTGGTATTTTTAGGATACCCAATTTTAAGGCCAAAATTTCTAATAAAACCTTTGACTGAATGTGATGGAAGATAACCATGTTACATTCATGAGGGCTTCTATTGAAAAAGTTGCTGTCAAACCATATGTCTACCTTTGATGAATAATCAGCTTCTTTCACGGCTAACAAATTACTGGATACAGGGATGTGTTCTCGGAGCCATGAGTTACATTTTAGTCTGTGCCAGTTTGGCCTGTGTAATAATGAATGAGTAAACACGGAAGATAAATCACACATGGCATGTACTGAAGCATGCATCTAACTAAAAATGAATATCTGTTCAAACTATATATTAATCTTGTGGCTGTATACACTGTATGTGATGTTTACATGTGTACATCTTATCAACTTGTGTATTCAGTTCTTTTTTTGCTTTTCTATAGGTCAAATGGATGATGTACTGGATAGTGTTCGCATTATTTACATGTATTGAAACGGTGTCGGACATCTTTGCGTCTTTGTAAGTACATGACAACCTTGCAGTTTTATTTGTTTTGTAATCCAATCAAAAATGGTCAATCGGTAGCCATTTTGTTTTTTTAACAACAGCTGTATTATAGGCATATTGATTGATTGAATTGATTGCAAATTGACGTTATATTTTGCAATCTAGACTATAGCCGACAGCAACTTGAGAATTCATTAGTATATGTGAAAATATCCAACTAAATTAAATACTAGTACACATTGATTTGGTGATGCGACATCAACTATCATGAGATACTGTTAATTCTGTGTACCAGTTGAACGTTTATAGTTTATTTTGATGATCCAAAGTTTGAGTAGTCAACCAGGACTTGCAAAACAAAGTGATAAAAATCAATTCCATGCACGAAAATGATTTATTTGTATCGATTCATGAAATATTCATGAGTATCATCCCAATGGTACATTTCTTATCAACTGTACATTAATCATATTGTGTATGCTAAGTCTCTTGTAAATCCCGCTGCTACTTCGTCTGTCTTCATCTGTCTCCTTCCAATCTCTTGTCATTTGATACCAAGTCAACTTTTGTCACTATACACAAAATAGACCTGCATACTATAAACAGTTTTGATTTTCTGAGAGTCAGTGAAAAATGTCATAAAATCCAGAAATAAAATAATTTTCTAGGACTGAAAATTATATTACACTACTTTCTAATTTATTTTCTTTTAATTTGGGTTAAGGTCTGTAGCCAATGGAAAACATTTAACTATTTAAGAATGTTGTGGTGAATGGAAATCAAAATGAATATGCACGTCCATTTGTTTCGTAACTTGGTATAACCAACAGACTATAAACTGAGAGCTTATTTCTCAGAGAAGTGTAAGCTAAGTGAGTATTGGTCACCAAATCCAGGAGGAAAATAATGGACTGAGAATGTATATTTCTCAACTGCTAGTCCTGGAATTAAGCCTAAGTCTTCTATCAATGTCAAATTTGTACAGCCTCAAATCATCACAGACATTATGTGACTCTGTTGCATTTAACTTTATCTTCCAGATCAGATCAGCCACCTGGCAGCCACTTTGTTTTAACGAATGCTGTTCTGAAAACTACATCTCAGATGTTTTCTGATTGATCATGTAAAAACTTTATACAGTCAAACCTGTCTATAAAGGACAGTCAGTGGACTGAGCCAAACTGTCCTTTATAGACAGGTGGTCTTTATATGGAGGTGGCCTAATTTATTCATTTAATCATGAATATTAATTAGGACCGGAATTTTAAGGGAGATCATAAGCAATACATAAAAACAAACCTACAATGAATATGTCTTTTTTAATAAAAGTCACTCATTTTCATCTGCATAATTACAGCTTTACTTTTTTACTACAAATTATATCATGTAAATTCACTGGAACCAAGTGATTCTGCCCATGGATTCATTGGTGTATTTAATGCATAAGAACGATTGTCAACGATCGGCCGCATTGGCATTTCAGCTCGGACTTTCACACTCTCGCCAAGCAGTCTTATTCCCCAGTCTCTTACACATATTCCATCACAGGTGGTAATCAGTCCCATCGTTAGTATTGTCGATTGTACACTGTGACAAAAATGCACAGGCAAAGTT